TCGTTGGATTTATAATGTGTATAGTCGAATTTGTAGGGCTTAAGCATTTTTTGGATATTCGTATATGTGTAATCGTATCAGTACTTCACCTTTTGATTAATGTTTTAAGCTTTTGTCTATTGCTCTTTTTTCTGCAGTGAGTTGATTGGTACAAGCGTTTTTCAAATGATTCCGCATTCAGGCCGAACGACTATAAATTTCCTACTAGATATCGAAGAGGTTCTCTTTCTTTAATTTAGTGTGTTAATTTCGTTCTTTCTCCTTCACGTTTTTACTCTGGTGCTAGATTTTCCTATTTGTTATAATTTTGAGATTTATCAACAAAAATCAAGGTGAAAAGACAAACTTATAAAAAGATGTATGCANGGTGTTTGGNNAAATGNCTNAAAGNNCGTTGTGTCGTCTTGTGAATTTGTTAATACTGATCTAACATCTGAGAAAATTATACATTTGCATCAAATTTTTGGCTTTTGTTAAACATCTCGACANTTTTTGGTNNTGANACAAGCTTACGGGACTTTGAAAGTTACAAAGGTTTGATGCAATATCTACGAACTCTACCATTTTTTCTTTCATTTTGTTGTTCAATTTAGCAATTTTTTTTCTTTCCACAATTTAAATAACGGATTTAACAATATTAATACACTCTTATGTGTTGCCTATCATCTATTAATCTTTTTAAATACTGATTTGCAGGTTTTTTTTTACTTGAGAAGAATGACATATCTTGACCAAGTAGATAATATGACATTAAACAGAAAACTAAATGAAAGTCAAGAAAAGAAGTATTCAACGGATTGAGAAACATAGAATTTAAAGGTAATATATATTCCTAATTTTCTTCATTCTGTTTCTCAATCTTTGCAAAGTTACTATTTTTTTTATGAGAGGCAGCTAGACAGCTCTTCGTTAATTTTTTTTACAAATTCTTCAAATCTANAGCATGTGTAAAAGTCAATGTTGGTGGAGCATGATTTGAAAGGATGGGAAATCGACTAGAAGTCTAGAACTTGCGGGTCTACTTCAGTAAGTACGTGAACACCAACAAATCTTTATTCCTTCACAAGTCTCCTGTGTTTTTTGGTATGAATGTTAAAAAGTCTTTGTGTTTGTTCCCGACAAAGGAATGTTGAGGAAATACTTCCAAAAAATTCATTTAAAAAAGTAGTGACTAAAAAAAAATCAATGAAATTTGTGTCTTTGAACATTATTTTATTTATATTACTACTATAGAAAATATTTTACAATTCTTAGAGATTCATACTGTACTATCTAATATAAGATTTTAAGGTTTCTCAAAACCAAAGTTATGAGAGGCTGTCATGTGTCATCTAATTTTTTTACTTTTGGCTTTTTAATTTATTTATTAAAAAAATGAAAATTAAATTCTCTTAATAATTTTATCAATTAGTTGTAACAATTTAATAGGTAATTCTAATGCAAATTAATTCCAACAAATTACATTTAAGTGTCTTATGCACATTTATGTAGTTCT